CCATTTCTCTTGATAGTCGTGCCGTCGCACGCATCCCACCTCTCCTTTGGTGGTGGTGGAGCCTCTGCCGAACTACTGGGGCATCAGGTTGGGGAGGCATATTCGTATTTTTTCTTACCCTCCTTGGGGGAGTATCTTCATTAGAACTCATTTTCCTCTTATCAAACTTAGATTTCTCTAAGTGATAGGGGTTCCTCCTGTTCTTTTTCAAGAACAAATCCTTTTTCAAGGGGGGTTGCCCAAATGTTTTTTCAGTAAGCTTTTACCACAAGGTTGCTCGTGGTTATGGTATGGTTTCCCACAGACGGCGCCAATCTGTTGACCCCAAAAAGTGTGCCAACAGATGCCGGTCCCACCCGCGCTTGCGTGGGCGAATGTCCAACACGCTAAGACACGTGGACGGTCTAAATGAGCGGTTCAAAGGGGCGTGGGAGTAGCCCAATGACGCGGGACGGTAACGTTCGGGATCCGACGGGTTGTTTGTAATCCGATTGTACAATAATTACCAACCGGTGCTCATAGATGTATACGCAAAAATGCATAAACTCGATTTGTGTATTGCTAGTAAATGGGAGAGAGTTGAGTAAAATGTAGTTTTTAGTATTGGTTCTTGCATTAGCCTTTTGATATTACACAATGGAAGTATTTATAGTAATGCATATGAAATGGGAGCCCTTGGATGAAGTGGCACGTGGCCTCATCTCTTTAGTCCAAACATCTTTTCCTAGATATGGGGCTTGACTTGCTAGCTTACGGCGCATTTATTGCTTGTGCAGGGCCTCCATGCTAGTGACAAGACTTGACCTTTATGCTTATGACAGACATTCCATCAATCATTCGAATAAGATCCGTGCAGGCGATTTCTTGGGAGAAGTGACCATGGAGGATGCTTGTGGTTGAGGCTCGCGCATCAACTTCGGGGCTTCGTCCATTTGAGGACCTCAGCTACAACCAAAGGCTTCCAAGCCTCGGGCCATGGGCCTCGGTTAGAAGCAGCTCGGATATAACCCACCTCGGCAATATGGGCCACCTCGGCAGGAATGCCACGTGGATCAGGATGAGTGGGCCACTGGCCCAGGTGGGTAGGACAGGAATGACAACACGCAACATGTAGCATCATTCATCGTTGCGCAACGGTGATGGTGATGGATTTTGAGAGGCGCAATTCCAAACCTCGTCTGTCTGCCTTCGCCACTTTAGATTGTGGTGGTGGTTTCGCTGATGTTGGTCGTGGCGACGGTGGTGACGATGGTGACAGTCGTGACGGTCATGGTGGTGGCAACAGAGAAGTGAGCGACGAGAGAGATGTAGAGAGGGAAAGGGTTTGGGAGAAATGATTTGGGGTGGAGTGGGGTTAGGGTTGGTTTATAAATTAATTTAATTTAATAATATATTTATCTAAAAATAATATATTAATTATCAAAACATCTTATTTTTGAACAATGAAACTTTCAATCTGATTTTAGAATATTAATATTTAAAATATGGTTTGGTGTAATTTCCACTAAGAACATTTCAGTCCATCTTATCAAGAACTATTGCAGGACCAAAAAATACATTTTCTCCTTGCAGTTTTCTATATTATAGCTACAGAATAATACGTTAGTACGGTGATGTCTATTTCGTTGGTCGACTCTAAATTTATTAATAATAAAGTTTAGTTTACTGCGTAGATAAAATATAGATAGAAGCAGAATTCTGTTATATACTGTGATAAACTCTCTCAATCTCAGGTCCAATGAAGCTTATTTTGGCACAAAAGAACAAATCAACTTATTCGTAACACAAAAGCAATACAGATTCATGCAAATCTTCACACACAAATTATACTGAAACAATTCCTTTAAAGAATGTATAGTATGAGTGCCCAAACAGGATATACCAACAGAATGACAATCCCGATGGTGTTGGAAATCCCGTTGCTCTTCGTAAATGAATTCCTGAACCCACCCGACGCTCGGATATGTTCCTGCAGCAAATAGCAGCCAATGACCAGACAAATCAAGATACCGATCCAGCTGTCCCTTATGGTGCCAGCAAAAAAGCTCGGAGCCACCACAATGAGAAGGATCAAAGCTCCTGGCAGTTCTAGCCAATCTGCATTAACAATTTTATCCAATTGATGATATTACTCCTACAAGAAAGGGGGCATGGGAGGTGTATGTCAACTGACTAATAATAATGTCACACCTGGAAAACGTCTGGGGAAGAAAAGGCGGAGGACAACAGCAATAAGAGCAATCCACTTCCCAATTTCGCCCCTGTACCATGTGTAAGCTTTTACGAAAAGTTGAATTATCAAAACAACTAGAAATACAGAAGTTACAGATCATTACCTGAGCAAATTGAATATAAGTGAAGGAAGACTCAGGAAAATGTAAGGAATTAAAAGGGACGTGAGTATGTTGGTTTTCCAGTTTGTTCGATCTAAGATCAACAAGTAACTGCCCACCAAATAGAAATGTTAAGTACAGCTAATGAATCGATGATGGAAGGCAAGCAACAAGTAGTGTTAATGGTAGTAACTAGTTAGTATTGAGATTGAATGAATCAAGAAGAAGCAACATATAAGAACTAATAAAAGAGATGCGTAAGCAAGTAAATTCCCTTTTGTTATGGCCTCGTCTTTTGCTCTGTATTAAGAAGCAAAAGAAGCGCGGACAACGTTAAAACAGCAATACAATTATTAATCATTAAGTTCAACCATCCATAACACATAACTTTTCCCAACTTTTTTCTCAAATGTATTTTCAACTAAATTCTCTCGATAAAATAATTTTGCAATTTCTGCCTACTTCTTAATTATACATTCTCCGGAAAGGGGAAAAAAATCATTTTTGACAAAATCACTTCTTAAAAAATCAAAATCAAACAAGGGCACAGGTCAACAAAACATCATTCTTGAATAAGACTTACTTGAAACTATAATCTGATCAGATATGAGTTACTTTCAACCACTGATTGAGTAACATATGCTCTCTCTTGATTTTTTTATTCATAAACCATTAGAAGTTATTTTCCTTTTCCATAATTGTGATAATTCACACAGTTTTATCTTCTTCAGACTCTTCTTGAACCTAGATAACTTCACAAAGACACATATAATCCCTAAGTGGTGATGAACGGGATTGAACAATACTTTCAGTCTCGTCCCAGACTGTTTACCAAAAATCAGTGAAGAAATAACACAAACAGGTGGTAGGCAAAGAGTAAAACTTACATTGCAGCAAATGAAGCAATCCATTCGAGGAATATAGTCCCAAATCCAAGCGAACCAAGCTTTACAGCATGATTAGCAAGCTTTTTCACAGCATTCCCTATTTCCTTCAAATCAGAACTGATCAATTCATTAGCAGCCACAGAATCAGTTTTCATTGCCAAATAACTCCTCTTTTTCCCCACAATTTTATCCATTGATAGAACCTCCAACCCAATAACTCAATACAAGTTGATACTGAAAATCATTGTGGAGAGATAAGGGATGGTGATTAAATACTGGGATTTTGTATTTTGGTAATTAAAAATCGATGGAAGAATAAAGAATTAATGATTTTGAAGTTTAATTAGTCAATTGAGTGCGTGCTGGAACTGTGTGTGGCCAGGCAGTCAGTGAGGAGAAGTGACAATGTAGTGCCACGTGGAGTTGGACAAATCGGTAGGTTGGTTATTACCAACGAACAACTGTATCCAGTTGTTGATTGCCATTGTTATCGTTTTCTTCGCTAAATTTCCGATAAGAACATTCGTTGTCCATTTGAATTATTTAAAAGTTTATGGATAAACAAAGTAATAATTTATTAAGAG